CCATATTAGCAGGACCGGATGCTAAATAGTTTTTAGCCATAGTTCGGTTGCCTGCGTCCGGCCTCAGGCCGAGAGTACCATCTTCTTTTATAATCGACCGGACGCTGCTCTCCAGAGTCTAGTCACTACGTGACCAGCGTCTGATCGAAGACCGACGCCAGCGCCTACACTGCTTCCATTGATCGGACGCGCCGTTCCAGTTGAGGCCAGCGTCTGGTCAGTTATAGTGACCTCTTCTTGCCTTCATTTTATTGCCAAGTTGATCCACATCAACTCCAACTTTATCTCCTTTATAAATGTGCCAACACCATCAAGTGTACACCACCATGTGTATGTATGTTAGCATTTTCACAATCATTTTCAAAGGATTAGCCACTCAACTAGATCCTAAATGCATATGCGATGAGTTAGAGCATCTAGTGCCACTTTGATAACTGCATTTCGATATGAGTTTCACCCCTCTTAATAGTACGGCTATCGAACCTAAACGTGATCACACTCGCTAAGTGTCTTGATCACCAAAACAAAATGGCTCCTACCACTTATACCTTTGCCTTGAGCCTTTTGTTTTTCTCTTTCTTCTTTTCCAAGTCCAAGCACTTGATCATCACCATGGCATCACCATCATCATGTCATGATCTTCATTTGCTTCACCACTTGGAATGTGCTACCTATCTCATGATCACTTTGATAAACTAGGTTAGCACTTAGGGTTTTATCAATTCACCAAAACCAAACTAGAGCTTTCACTTGGGCTCGAGAATGCATAAGAGAATATTTGATTTCTAGTGTTGTTCATCATGGAAGAGATGCACTTTGTAGATTGCAGTTGGGTCTATTGGTTTGCAAGCTAATATGTTGTTGCTCCTTTATCCAAGACTTGTTGATTTGAAAGACTTCAATCTGTTATGAGAGGTTTGCCCATTTGTTGGTATCTCTCATTCATGAAGTTCTTTGGTTGCTTCAGTTGGGTGGAGATGTTGGTGTTACTTGAGGCATTATCTCCTTTGGTCCTTTGGAGGTGTTGGTCGGTTCTCAAGTGTATCTCCATTATGAAGCTCTCTTTGTGACTTCAATCTGTTCGAGGGATTTGGTTACCATCAGGTATTCTCTCAGGTTGTATGGAGTTCTTCCAGTTTAAAGTTTTGTTTGTTGTTGTCAGTTTGCTTTTGGCAGTTGATATTCAGTTGGAGCAATTGGCTATTTGAGATTGCTTGTGTTGGGACCCCTATTAGTTGTTTAGATCTATAGTTTGTCGCTAGCATTGGCATTTGTTAAGTGGACATTGTTTGTCATTTGGTGATTGCTATGTGGGCTAGATGCATCTTCTTTTGTGGCACTGTTACACTGGATTTGGTTCATTTGTTCAAGAGCCCGTTGCAAGTTTATTCATCTTGAGGCAGTTTTAGATGGTTTGTCATATTTAGTTGTTTTGTTAGAATGACATCTTGGTTGCAGCTCATCTATACCACTCTGAATTATTTATGAGGAAGTGAAAGTTGAGCTCCTATTTGAGTCTGAGCTGAAGGATTTTGGTGCATCATGGAATTTGGTCTCTGCATGGATCATTAAGTCCAAATTGAGGTCAACGTTTGGTATTACAGATGGCAGTACGCTATGGTTGCACTTGTTTGTGTGAGATCTAGTCCAGAATTTGTTGGTACTCGATTGGCTATACTTTTGATAGTTCCTTTCACTCAAGTTTCTTGGAGGAGCAGATGTAAATGTTATTACTTTCATTAATCGGCAGTTTGGTGCACATAGTGGTATTTGGTATTCACGTGTGCAAGTTGCTCATTCGGTGAGTGTTGGTTGCTGAGTTATGTGTTTCAGGTGAAGCACACTTGGAGAGCAGGGTTTTGCATTCTTCACTATTTGTTCAATACCTCAGGTGATTTCTTGGCATATCCTTTGGTGATCGAGCAATTTGTTCAGACTTAGGTTAGGAGGTCAGTTGTACATGTTCAGATATTTGCTGGGGGTTAGACTTTGTTGAAGACTCAGTTTTGTTCATCTAGATTTGGTGAGATGTCATTTGGACTTCCTAGTTATTCTTGCTTGCTCGATTTGGTAGCTTCTTGTGAAGCGTTTGTTGGAGGTTTTTTGTTTGTGCATTTGACTTGGAGTTGGAGATTTAAGCATTTGGCATCATGATCATGGGTGTGTTTGCCATGTTGTTCACTCATCAGAGTTCACTGATGCATTTTTTTGTGGCTCAATCATTTGCCAAGTCAAACAGAGCTATCTCCATGTTGGAGGCAATGAATTTGTTGCTTATTGATTTGAAGATGAAACATTTGAAGATTCGACTTTTGACATCAAGAATTTTGGTGTGTTTGCTCTATGGTCCAATCGTCACTGAGGTGAAGAATTGTGATGTCGTAGCTCCCATTGACACCATTTCTAGCTTCACAAGACAAAATAACGATAGGTAAAAGATTCATTCAAGCAGTCCCTAAAGTCGTCATGGCTGCCGCCCGGCAGCCATGCACAGTCTCTCTAAGTCAGATATGATTTTGCGTCCACTCCCCTCACAAATTGAAACAATGGCCCTGTTCACCTGTCTTATAAGTCGTACTATTTTAGCGAACGAATAACGTTTTTCTCTCACAACAAATCAGCGAACAGTACTTTTAGCTATGACTTTTCAGTAAAGCGAACAGGGCCAACGACTTTCCGGCGTTTCAAGTGGTGTGCGTGTGTGCGTCTGTTGTGCAGATGATCTGCCAAGTTTGACATTGACGACCCAAAAGCTTTTATTTATTAAAGCAAGCAGTCCTCAGATGGCCGTCTACTATGATACTCAGAGAAAATGCTTCAAACACAGTAGCCCACACGCTCCAGTGTCCAACCCAATTTCTGGAACGAGATCATCTACAGTTGAGCTGGAGGACTTGTCTCTGCAGTTCTTCATCCAAGTATAAGGGTGAGCTCCAGAGAAACTAAACTACCAAGCCTCCAACAGGCCCATATCAGCCCATCCGACCATCCCGCACAACACTTTTCCCTCCTGACTCCAACCTCCGTCGTAGTTTCTCATTCCCCAGGCTACACGGCGTCGCGGCTACTCCGTCAGGAGCGTCACTGGAGCGCCCACTCCTCCAGTCCTCCCATCTTCATTAGGTGCGACACCGGATCTGGCGCATCCGTCCTCTCCAAGCGCAACAAAGCGGGCAAAGCGGGGCGGTCGTTTCCTCTGCAGGTAGCAGGTCGGCGCCGCGGCACCATCCTCGCCATTGCAGGCAGTAGGTCGGCGCGGCGGCCCCATCCTCGCCAGGCGCATCACCAAATCGACGCGGCGCTCCCTTCCTCGTCATGCACGGCACCGGGCCGACGATGCAGCCCTCGCAGACGCGGCGTGCTCGCCGTTGGTGTCGGCACTCCTCTTCTACTTCATGTATGGGAGATTCACTTGCTTAATGATGGAGAGCACCATAGCAGCATAGTCCAATCGCCGCCGCATCGCCGCCGCACGCCCTTTCACGCCAAAAACGTAGTCCCAACGCCAAAAGTGGCGAGCAGCCACGCTAGGAAATAAAATACCGAGTCTCTAGTACGTGAAAGGCTATGTGATATTGGGCCAGGCCCAGCGAGCTGAGGGGGGCATCTGTATATGCTTTGGTCACCGTTAGATAGGAATGGGCGACCATATTTCCAGCAACCATAGAGAGAAGTTCTTTGGCCAACTGCAGATGATCTCATTCCCGATTTCCCTTCTCACCGTGTGGCGGTGCCTCTTGCCGACTGCCATGCCCTCGAGGCTCATCTCATCTTCCGGGAGTCCCATCTGTGATGTCGCAGCTCGCATGACACTATTTGGAGTCTCATTTGAGCATTTAGATTATGGAAAATGTTGCTTATATGTTTGGTTAGGTGTCTAGGGACTTATTTGGGATAAACTATAACTTTGGGGGGCCTTCCAAAAGGTGCCCAAACCAGCCCAAAAGGGCTACCCGATCTCCCCTTCTCTTTAGTGGCTTGTTCATTTGGTTTTGAAGGGAGAGAGCTAGAGTTTGAGAGAGGAGAGGTGGGGCTTTATCTACTAAATCCACCACTAAAAGAGTGAAATTTGTGGGGATTTGGAGCTTTCCCAACCTTGTTGGCTTTCACCTCTTGTATCCTTCATCTTCATAGTGGATTGCTTGGTTGTCGCCGTCTGTGGTTTTTTCCCGCAAGGGGATTCTATGTAAATCCTTGTGTCTATCTGTGATTTGGTATTTATCTTGCCATACTTGTTGATTGGTTCCCATCTTACTTACTATTGGTGCTATTTTGTTCAAGTTCATGGTGTATGTCGAGTTGGCATATGAGGTATATATGGGTTCTTTGATATGTTGATAATGGGATTGATTTGTTAGTGAGCTGATCTTTACAAGTGTATTTCTTACTGTGGAGTTTGGACAGCACCATGTATGGCGAATTGACACTATGGGACTTTTTTTTCAAGTATGCATAAAGGTGTTTTGTGAAATGCTTGTGAGCAGTTAGCTGGCTAACTTCGATGCATCCGCGGCCCCTCTGCGCTCACACCATCGCTCCGGGTTCGGTTCGGCGCACCTGTCGCCAAGGTCCAAGGGTCCACGGCATCGCCAACTGTGCGTGAGCGCCGCAAGAAAAGCCTTTGTTTTTTTTGTTTTTTTTTTGGGGCGCATCCTATCTCTGACCACGACGCCGCAGCCGGCAGCCGGCAGACGGGCCGGGAGTCGCTTCGCTACAAAGATCGCGGACGCGCGACTCCAACCAGGGAGACAGACAAAAGGAGAGGCGTGGACACGGGACGCGTGGGAGACAGCGCGCGCGCTAGTGGTGTGTCGTGGCGCGAGAACACGCGACTTCCTCGGCGCGCGCACCAAGTTGCAAGGTCTCCTCGCCGTCGCCGGCCTACCGAATCTCTTACCTCTCGAACGGTCGGCGGCTGCATAGCCTCGCTGCGTGGGCCGGCCGTCGCACAGGCACACTCAGCGTGTCGCGTCCCGATCGAGCGGCTGCACGCCGGCGCGATGGGCTGCGCGTCGTCCAAGCAGTTCAGCAGGAGCGCGCCGGTGCACGAGGATCCGGCCGTGCTGGCGTCCCAGACTTCATGTGAGCATCTCATGTCATCTCTCCCCCCTTCTCACACCGGCAACGACGGCGCCGCTGCCGATTGCGTGACGCTGACTGACCCCGGCTGCTGCGGTTGTTGTGGTTGCTTGTGTGGCAGTCACGGTGAACGGCTGTACAAGCTGTACAAGAAGCTCAGCTTCTCCATCGTCAAAGACGGGCTCATCCACAAGGTGGGGGGTCGACCGATACATGGATCCATCTCCACTCCATTCCATTCCCTTGTTTCTGATAGATTGCGCCGCTGATGAATTGGAGTCTGTGTCGTGTTGGTTTGGTCGGTCAGGAGGAGTTTCAGCTCGCCTTGTTCAGGAACAGCAACAGAGCGAACCTCTTTGCAGACCGGGTAAGCGTCTCCTGCCCATTTTCGGCCTTACACAGTTACATGAGGAAACTTTCGTCTGTGCCTCCTCCAGTCCAACGAGCGCAAACGCACTTATCTTCATTAATTAACTCGGTTCGTGTTTACTGTGACAGGTCTTCGATCTGTTCGATCTCAAACGGAACGGAGTCATCGATTTCGAGGAATTCGTGCGGTCGCTCAGTGTATTCCACCCTAAAGCACATATATCGGAGAAGACAGCGTGTATGTTCATTCATCGTCTTCTCATGCGTTAGGATCTGCTTGGAACGGGAGAATTTTTTCCTTAATCTTGATTGCTTTTTCATGTGAAATTCCTGCGTCTCTAATGGTTACATGGAGAAAGAAGGAATTGACATGTTTGATTTGGGTTTCTCATCCTCTATGCAGTCGCGTTCAAGCTGTATGATCTAAGGGGGACAGGTTACATCGAGAAAGAAGAGGTGATCGATCATGCATCCTCATCTGTTTTCCGAAAAAAAAAACAAAGCAGCCAGGGTTCATGCCTTAATCACTCTGCAAGTCCTAGTGTTTGTCTAAACTGCACCTGTTTGATTCTGATTAAATATCAATTTTGTTCTTTGAGAAACACAGCTCAGAGAGATGGTCTTGGCACTGCTTGATGAGTTTGATCTCTGCCTTTCAGAAAGCACTGTCGAGACGATTGTCGATAATGTAATTGATTTACTGCTACTCTGCTAGTCATCAGGTGTTTGTTTGCAAAGATCTCATTTTTATTCTATGTGCTGCTCTGTTTGGATTGGAGTGCAGACATTCAGTCAAGCGGACTCAAATGGGGACGGCAGGATAGATCCTGAAAAATGGGAGGAATTTGTGAAGAAGAACCCGGCAACATTAAGAAACATGTCTCTCCCCTATTTGCAGTGAGTAGCGCATCTTCCCTAGGAAACGTTGTTATTCCTCTCCTTTCCTTTTCATGTTATCTTTCCTTTCAAAAAAAAACTGATTACTTTTGAAATTATTGTTGATTGTTCAGGGACATTACCATGTCACTTCCGAGCTTCATAATGCATTCAGAAGCCAGTGACTGAAATATTTTAGTACAGCTGCGTATAAGGAAGCAGAGTTCCATCAGCTCTGTTGTGCCTTAGTTAGCTCCTGAGTTTGTTGGAGCCTACAGCCTAGTCCATGGCACGAAGCACTGGAGCAAGTTCAGAATGTAGCAGCAACGGCCAGCGGAGTACATGAGGGTTGCTGCCATATGCTGCGACTTAACAAGATGATGGCGAAAAATTCATCTGAATGATAAGCTTCAGATGGTACCAGGCAACAATTTTCTCGGTACCGAAACATCGATGTTGCGTTAAAAAAAATGTTTCCACGATGTGAACATATTTCCTTGTGGGGCAGTGCCTGAGTTCATCGAAGCAGGAAAGGAAAAAATAACTTGTGAACATCGTGGAGGACCAACAAGTCTGTTTACATCGAAGCAGTGCCTGAGTTCACAACTAACTGTCCACTGCTGATATGCTTTCGTCTAAATCTCGTGTATAGTTGCAAATGAAAGGAAATAGCAACTTGTGTGTGTGTGTCTGGGCTGGGTGGGTGGGGGGTGGGGGGGGGTGGGGGGAGGGTTGTTGTTGATGAACTCTAGTAGTTTTTGGCTGGTCAGGTGTTTTCATCTTTCTTCGCTGCATGCAGTAGTTGTAGCTTAAATAAATTGGCGGATCCAGCTCCCCGAAGGCCTTCTCTTTCTCTATGTTCGCTAGAGCTTATCGATAGAATCAGTCCTACTTTTTAGCTATGAAAATATATTTTTCTCTCACAACAAATCAGTCCTACAGATCAATCGCAGCAATAATAAGTCCTGCCGAACAGGTATTTCCTTGGACTGTCATCTTTTGTTAATGCATGTTCATATACAACGGATGCCAATTTTTCGGAAAATGGTGGATCCTACATCTGTCAAATTGTTATCGAGCATTTTTCATGCGGGCTTCACATGGGCCCCGATGGGAAAGTCTGTACAGGGGCCATGGGCCATGGCATATCCAAACAGCAGTCTTCTCTGGTAAAAAGGATCATCGTTCGTCCATACCTAAATCAAAAGAAGAAAAGAAAAGCCACGGTCAGCCTACATGAGCACCTGCGTGAAGCGCATGAGCACCCCTAGGCGAGGACCTACTCCGCGGCATGGGTCAGCACACGCTGGGCACGGCGGAGGATGGGCTTGGCGCGGCGGGGGATGGAGGCGCCGCAGAGGATGGCGGCGTCGGTGAGCCGGAGTGGCTTGGCAGGGTTGGCAGCTGAGCCCTGCGCCTCGAAGGCGGTCACGAGCCGCGCCTGGCTGGGCCAACGGCCGAGCACTAGAAGCGGCGGGCGAGCGGATAGGAGCAAGTGAGTGGATAGAAACGAGTACGTGGACGAGCTAGTTTTTTTATTTAGAAACTAAAAGTGCAATCAAGCCTTTAATTATAGGTTTTAGTGATAATGACAACGCAATTAGAGAACTAATAAGATTTATCGAGATGACAAGCAGGAAATTTGTATTCGAGGATGCCACATGGAACGAAGGAATCCCCAACTACAAATATAGATGGCTTCAAACTCAAAGAAGTTTTAAATTCGTTCATATATTGAATTTAAGTATAGGAAAAGCCGTACTATAAAGGGTGACACAATGCTTAAGTTAATCAATACTACCAAGTGCTCAAACAACCACAAGCATTCTCAGATTCATAGCCAAGACAGTCTACACTTCACTATTATCCTTTGTTGTCTTGCGGGGCGCGAACTACGATTCGCCCGACCCCTTGGGTGCGAACTGTGACTCGCCCGACCCCTTGGGCGTGAGCTCCGACTCGCCTGACCCCTTGGGTGCGAGCTCTGGCTCGCCCGACCCTTTGGTCGCGGGCTCCGGTTCGCCTGACCCTTTGATCGTGAGCTCTGTCTCGCCCGACCCCAAGGTCGTGGGCTTCAGCTCACCCAACCCTTTGGTTGTGGCCTCGTCTCGCCCGACCTCTTGGGTGCAGTGTCCCTTGAGGGCCGAAGGTATATATACCTTTTCCTTTTCTCCCCAACGGCTATCTGCAATTAAAGTGACCGTTGGGGGCTCGGGAGGTATATATATATATCTTTCCCCTTCCTCTCTAACGGGTACCGATGAACGAACCAACCTGCTCTCTTCTTCCTCACTTCAGCACTCCAAAACAGAACAAGAGCTCTCTCTCTCACTCCATTGTTGACCTCAAGCCCCAGGCAAATTCATTGATTTCTCCATCAATCCTTAAGGAAAAAGGGTCCAAAACTCAAATAGAGAGCAGCTCCATTGATTCCTAAACTCTAAAAAGCACTTGGTTCATGTCTTAGCCAGCGGTTGTATTTGTTACTCTTGGAGCTTGTCTCCTAGCCGGCTAGAGCGTCGCCCGTGGAGCTTGCCAACTTATGTGGTAGCCCCGAAAGGTTTGTAACCGCCTCTTGCAGCAAGTAAAATTACCCCTCATCTTAAGAGTTCATTCTCTTGACTTGATAACGAGGAAAGGGTTGAAAGAGACCCAAAGCCTTTCTGGCAACCTCAACAACATGGACATAGGCAAGCCTTGGTGGCGAGCTGAACCACGAGATAAATCCTTGTGTCATCTTGTGCTTGTGTTGCTACACTTGTGTTTTTGTGATTGTTGAGGTGATTTCTAGGATTGAGGCCGATCTACTTGTGTGGTGTTCCCACCACTTTCAGCTGTCGATCTGCGATCTATTACCCTGTAGGAAGCTAAGAAAAATACCCGATCCAAATTTCGTTGGGTAGATTTTGAACTGTGAACTAATCTCTCCTGCAGGTGCGGTAGTGCTGCGCTTACAGAGCGGCAGTGCCGTGGGTGAATTTGACTTCGGTTTAAGTTGAATTTTTATAGGCCTATTCACACCCCTCTGGGCGTATCAGAGATCCTACAAGTGGTATCAGAGCTAGGTTACCTCGTGTGCGCTTCACCGCATGAGGTATGGAGCCCGGGGGAGGATCCGATGTTGTGAAGCCCATCAACGTCGAGGACGTTGGGATGCATGACACCAACAGTAGTGAGCTTAGCGCCTCTACAACAAGCAACTCCACGCTCCCGCGGCTAGAGGCAACCAATGCTGAAAAAGCTCAAAATGAAGAAGAAAGAAGAAGAAAAAGAGCAGCTAGAAAAGAGAAAAGAGAAGCAAGAGAGAAGAAGAAGGAGCAGCAGCGGTTAGAAGAGAAGAAAGCAAGAAAAGAAGAAAGAAGACTTAAGAGAGAAGCTAGAAGAAAAGGAAGAGAAGTAAGAAAGAAGAAGGAACAAGAAGCAAAAGCCTCCAATGCATCTTCAAGTGAGCTATCTAGCAACTCCGAAGATGGTGATGATGATGAGTCCTACCGAGTGCATAGCAAGAAGGACAAGAAAGGAAAGGACAAGAAGAATGACAACAACAAATATGCTGCCGTATCCTTTAACTATTCTTCTATGTCTATGACTAACCATGATCGCAAGTCCTTCATCAATGTGCCCGTGAGTAAGTTATCTCATTTTGATGGGACTAACTTTGCCAGGTGAAAATACTTGATGAGATCCTATCTTATAGGTCTTCATCCCGAAATTTGGGAGGTTGTTTGCAATGGATTTGAGCCACCTATTGATCCCAAGAATCCAACCATGGAAGAAATGAGAATCATCCACCTCAACGGTCAAGCTACTAGTGTGCTACTTAGTGCCTTGGATGGTAATGAGTACAATAGAGTGATTGGTGTGGATATTGCCAAGCAAATTTGGGATACCGCATCTTGCACATGAAGGAGTTGACAAAGTGAGAAAGGCAAGAATTGATTTGTTGATGTCCAACCTCAACCGATTTGTTATCTTGGATAGAGAAGGGCCACAAGAGATGTTTGATAGGTTGATGACAATGGTGGGCAAGATTAGAGGCTATGGTTGTGATGAGCTAGATGTTCATAAAGTTGTCAAGATTATGTTGGAAGCTTATTCACCTAGAAATGAGACCGTAGTCACTTTAATTAGAGACAAGAAGAAGTTTGAATACTTCACACCCAATGATGTACTTGAGAGGATCTTGACCTTTGATATGCGAAGAAAAGAAGCAAATGAGAGAAAGAAGCTTGGAGAATTGCAAGCAAAGCTAGAAGGCATCAAGATCAACAAGGATGTAGCTCTCAAGGCCAACAAATCAAGCAAGCAAGGCTCTACTAGCAAGTCCAAGACCAACAAGCAAGCCCAAAGCAAGCAAGCAAGTTTAAGAAAGAGTAGAGACCACCTTATCCTCTAGTGAGAGTGAACATGAGGATGACCAATACGAGAAAGTGGATGATGTTGCTCTCTTTATGAGGAGGTATCACAAGGGGCTAAAGAAGCAAGGCTACAAGGTAGTGAAGAGAAGCTTCCCAAACAAGAAAAAGAGGACATGCTATAATTATGGAAGAACCGATCACTTCATTGCCAAGTGTCCATATGAGATCAAGGAGAACAAGCATAAGAAAGAGAAGAAGGAGGACACGGCCGATAGGAGAAAGAGCAAAAAAAACTTGGGAGAAGCTCACATTGGGCATGAATGGGATTCATCTATTGGAAGCTCAAATGAAGAAGATAAGAAAGTTGCAACCATTGCTATCCATGAACCATCTTCTTCACCAAGACTCTTCACTAACATGTCCGATGATGACTACAACTCCCCTCACATTTATCTTATGGCAAAGGGTGAGAAGGTAAAATCTAAATCCAAGGCCAAAGCTCCTCCACCTCCACCTCCACCTCCTAGTGATATCTCTAGTAGTGATCTTAGTGATAGCTCTAGTGATGGTGAATCTAGTGATGAAGAAATAAATATGATAATAAAAAATTTAGATGAAAAGACCAAATTATTCATCACTAAGCTAATGGAGGACTTAAAGAGTGTCCAAGCCGAGCTAGAATCTAGAGAGGAAACTCTTATCTAACAAGAGGATCTCTATATTGCTAGCAAGGAAGCTCTTGCATTAGAGAGAAGTGAGGTAGAATCCTTGCGCAAGGCCTTGGCCAAGGAACAAGGGGACCATGCTATCACAAAGAAAGAAAATATTGCT